TGAGTTTTTTACTCTTTTTTAACAAGCAGTACTTTTTTCAAATCCTGTACTCTGAAGGTACTCATTTGTATAAATTTGTACTCATTTGTATTTCTAAAACATTTTTTTTTAATATTATTTAATTTCAATTTTAATAATTAAATATTAAAAATTATTTTGATAGTGATTTGAATTTCACATGTGCATATTGTTTGCCGTTTCCGGCATGTCAGAGGACAGGGCAAACACCAGACACAAGTTTGACAGTGATTTAAATTTTGCACACACATATGGCTGCTATTTTCAGCACAATTGAGAGGCCTTACTGTGTACCTGGAGAGATACTCCAGACCTTTTTTTCTAACAATGTAATTTTTTCACAAATGTAATTTTTTCAAAATTACATTTGTGAAAAGAGATGGTTCTAACATTTATGTATGTAATCCCCAAGCTGATCTTTGATGTGCAGTATGTACGGCATGCTCGACAGTATTGATGCATGAGTAGTATGTACAGCAAAGTTTTTTATCCATCTATTTAATTAAATAAAAGAATAAAAAAACCTTACTGTACATACTACACATGTGCTTATTGTTAATTAACCATAAAATCAAAAATTACAAACTTAATTATAATTTACAAATTCATGTTCGGTGTCACTCATATTAAAAACTAGTCAATGGAGCAACACCTTAATAAAATAAACAAATAAAATAAAAAAATAATAATAAAGAAAGTAAACTACATTAATACAAGTAATAAAAAAAGAAGTATAAGGAACAATAATATTTAAAAAGTTGGAATTAGCACAAAAATATAAAGGAGTAACGCTAAGAAAAATAAAAAAAAAAAAGAGAGAATGAACGGATGAGATAAGATGAGTGAGAAAATATGTAAGAGAAAAAAAAAACTTTATCACATAAGTTCAGATAGAGTGACAAAACAATTTTTGCAGAAAAATATAAAAAAACAAATTAAAGGTAAATTTAAATAAAAAAATATATACATACACTACTATATACAATATTAAAGGCTATATTAAAACCTATAAACTGACCCCTTTGGAAGATTCCAATCCCGGAATAAAAATGAAATTTTAAAAGAAGTTAAAATTTGCTATGAATATATCGAGAATGGATAATGAACTTTAGAGCATTGAATTGTTTCTAATGGACCCTTATAAATAGTAAAATTTAATGGAAAAAAGTTCCTTCAGCAGTCGAATTTCTAATAAAGGAAGTATAAGATATTGTTATTAATGACAATTTTCTCTTTGAAGAAATTCGAAGAGTAAATTTATATTTAAATAAAGAAAAATTGAAGAAATGGAACAATGAGAAAATAGAACTTGAAAAAAGATGGGTAGATATCTTTCGGCATTTTAGAGTAGAACATATCCCAAATGAAAACTTAAAAGTTTTAATAGAAATTTCTTTGTTGTCCGGACACTAATGCTGCTGTTGAATGGGTATTTTCACAAAGGAATGATTATTGGAGCAGTGAGAAGTTGCAACTTTCTGTAAAAACATTATATGCCGTCTTAACAGTCAAATTCAATAAGCAATTTAATATGTTCGGATGTGGCAACATTATTAGAGGAGCATCCTCATTTAGCATAAAAAATCCACTGAAGAAAAATATTTTTTTTAAAGAAGATAAAGTTTTTTATCGTTTTTTCTTCTTTTTTTTTTACCTATGAAATACTTGATAAGTGTACTCTTTTTGAACAAAAGATAGTTGGTCCCCTTAAGAAAATTAAAAATGGAATTAGATTTTTATTCACCACTTTTTGAACAAATCTCTGAAAACCCAATTTGGGCCCCCTAATATTGTGAATCCTAGGCCTGGGCTCTGATGGCAACATTTACAAAAAGCAACAACTTTTGGCAAATTTTATTTAAAATTTTTAAAATGTATGTTTAAATTTTATCACTATTTTAGATTTTCATTGAATAAATTCCTATATAAAAATATATTTTGCATAAAATATTTATGGAATATTATTCTCTTTTCCTATCAGCTATCAAGGTAATTATACTGACTTGATCATATTCAGCATTAATCTGAAGCTAATGAGTTTATAGCTGAAGCTGAAATAACAGCTGCAACCTCTACTTTATAGACAACATAGTTAATGTGATGTATATAAATTATAATAATAAATGTGTTTTTTTTTTATACTCTAATAGTTATTTTTTTATTCATGATACATTTTTTTTAAACACATGTTTTTTTATAATATTTAATACTCAGGAAATACTGACTTTTGCCAAATATTCTTTAGATAAAAATAATATTTTCTTACATTACTCTAATTGAGGTAATTAACAACGGTAATATTTACTCAAATCATTATATTTGTCCCCAGAAGTTAATGTAGTTCTATAATACATAAGTCTCTTACTAATTCTAATAATAAAAAGTTATTACCATTATTATTATAATTATATTTACTAACCTGTTATTACTAATATTTATCAAAAATAAATTCTGGTTGTTGAAGTCACTTTTACTCATATCAGTATGCAAATATTGTCAACAGGTCAGAGTGCACCATGCAGAAATATTCTTTAACATGCTGCAAATTACAAGATATACATAAGATACATATCAAAAAGACTTATTACCTGGAACTTAACATTTTATCTTGTTTAACTTACAATAACTCGATTATAATAAATAAGTATATGGTTATAATCTATATAATAACTATTATCTTTTTAGTTATTGTTATTCATGTTAAAGTTATCAAGTTAAATTAAAGTTTTATAACTAACGTTTGAATGCAAAAGTTCATATCAATAAAATTTTTTTTCAGTATTATAAATATAAGTATTATATTACAAGTATTTACAAGTATAGGTATTGTTAGTGTAAGTTATTATTATGTATATCATGAAATTATTGTTAATATTGCAAGTGTACAATTTTAAATCAAAGTCAAAAATCATCAATGATTAAAAAATGAGGTTAATGCATAACAATAAAGCCATTTTTTTGCATTTTAACATCTAATTATATCTTTATTTATATCTGACTATTATATCTGACGGTGGGTAAACTTCGTTAAAATCAGTCATTTTGCTTGCATAAAATATAGATATAAAAATCAATGGAAAAGAGTGGATCTGTAAAAACGATTTAAAATCTTTTAATTCCCTAAATAAAACTTATCAATTACATTCCATTTGCCTGTATGCTCTTTTTAAATGTTTCTGACTAAACCAATATTTTGATCAAACTCAAACCATTTATTACAGTCACTAGCAGAAACAAAACTTTATATTTTGATCATTTTAAAAATGAAAACAGTGTCTCAATGGAATATTTACTATATGTTTAATAGTTTTTGGAACATATGTTCAACAAATATGTTAAACTTTGTAAATTTATTTATAAAAAAAAATACAAAAAAATTCTTTTATTATGGTAATAAATAAATGAAATTTTAAAACAACGTCTTTTTAATGGAGTTTCACAGTGACAAAACACATCAAAAAAATTTTCTTTTTAATTATAATGTAAATATAATGTATAGAAAAAATATAATGCATAAAAGTTAAATTTTTAATCTTATTTCACGCACAATACGAATTATAAATGGCACCCATCGAGTAAGTTTTGTTATGATTTTTTTAATTATCAGTTTAAACCTTTTGGGAACCTATTAGGAAACCCGTCAAATCCCCAGATTCTTCGGCCCTGATAAAAACTAAACGAGCAAATATGCTAAATTTTTTTACCATATGGGACCCGTCTGGAAACCAAAACACTTACCCGTCAAAATCCCGTTCCCGTAAGCCCAGACAAAAACCGTACGGTACCCGTCTGGCAATGTTGGCTGGGATGTTTTGTAATAACTTTGTAAATTTTTTACAAAGCTATTACAAAACAAAAATAATTGTATTTGTATTCAAAATATATTTGCAAGTTTTTTTACTAAGTGTACTAAGTAAAGTGACCTATTTTATTAAATAATAGGGGAGATTGGGGTACGTTTATCATATGAGCAGATTTGCCTACCCCGCTGGCACTCAACGTTGTGCAACGTTGTGCTAATGTTGTTACAGTTGCGTTTTACGTTACTTAATGTTAATTCAAAATTGAGTCTACGTAATCTTTTTAACGTAGTATTCTCACGTTGAGCTAACGTTGACACAACGTTAAAAAAACATAGAAGTAATTAACCTAACATTCTAACGTTGAGCTAACATACGGACAACGTAAAAAAATAAAGAAATTTTAACGTAGTTCTGCTAACTACCGTAATTAAATTTTTTTTTCTTAAAGATGGTGTATGAGAATATAGAAAATAAATTTAGTTTAGTTTAGTTTAGTTAAAAGATAATTAGCTAAGTTTTAAAGTTTGTCTTTGAATTGCTGATAAAAAATTTAATATATGTTTGATTAAAAAAGTTTATTTTAGAAAAACAAATATATTATTGGTTAGCCTCTGAATATTACCCTGTATAATAAATAAATGTTTAACAGTAAGTATTGTATTTCTGAATAAATATTTTAAAGCAGTGTTTACTTACTGTAAACACTGCTTTAAAAAAGTTCTTTTCAGTGTTTACTGTAAACACTGCTTTAAAAAAGTTCTTTTCAGATTTTTTTTATTTTTATTTTAATTCACCTCCTCAAGGCCAAGAAGGCCACTACAGACGAGGAGGCTACTTATTTGTGGCTGTAACCCTTTCTCAACTCTATAACTCTGAAACACGAACCTTGACGAACAAGGCCGCTGCGCGGAGAAACGAGTTGAGCGCGGTACTACCGGGGACGTGGTGGGGATTAACCATAAATACTAATCTTGAAATCATTTAAATGTATTCAAATTTTAATTTTTTTGAATTTTGATAATACAAGTATGATAATTAATGCTGAGATTATTACACAGAAAAAAATTTTTAAATTTTTATTAGTGATGGAGTTAGCATGCCCACACGATTTTTTTATAATTTAAGTATTCAAATATAATTAATGCCATTGTATAGAGCTTGGTTTGACGTAAAAAATGAGGGGTCATTCGAACTTTGAAATTGA